AAACTTAAAATAGATTGACAAACACAATTTTTAGACCCACCCGACACATGAATATAGATCTTGATGTGCTCACCCTGTAGTTTCCTACATGGAATGAAAAAAATATGCACAACATGGCTACATGCTTTTATTTCTGTGGACTGTGGCTTTAGTTTTAGCTGTGTGACTGTGTTGGATGTCAACATTATGACCGAAATAAAGAATGATGTCCACATTGTGACACTAGTAAAAGGGAGAACCGGAGAACACATCTTCTATAAGTAGTCTACCAAACAACTTGTCAATGCATCAAACCCCATTGCAAAGAAAAAGAGAACTGCATCTTACATGTACATATGCCTTTTTTAGCTACATCTATCAGGTTAAGTATATTCGTTATGTCTACATCTAACAGAGTACCTCCCGGAGGAGTGGCACTAAGAACACAGGTGATTGTTGTGGTGGTTATATCAATGCATTTGTGTTCTCAGGTCACCCCTTTGGGGAACTCTGTTCACATGAGAGGCTGATGGGCTGATCACTGATGGCATTTTCTACCCCATTCCATTACTTGTAGATTATGAAATGCGCTTATCCTGTGCAGGAGTTTCGGCCAACAATTTTTTTGATCTTAAAGAAGTTGTTAGTAACGACTAATTATTTTGTTTATGCAGATCAAACATTCAAAACTATAAGCAAGCGAAGGTGCAAAGGTCAAAGGTGCAGTTCTCATTGATTTGCCAGGACAAATATTCGAGGGCATTCCTTTAAACAACATTACAACAGAAGGATGGTGTTTTGAATGCGCTGCTACTCCGCATTTCATTATTGCTCATACCTATTTTTTCCTTTGTATTAATGATGTATACAATGAAGCACAAGATTTGCTATCATACAAGGCTCTTAACAAAATAAAGCGAGTTTTATTGGTAGAACAATAATGTGTTGGTTGAACAAAACCAAAATGTAAGAAAAGTAATATATACACAAGGAGTTCTCATTCATATGGCTCTGTAGCAAGACAATTTCTTTTCGTCCTGGAAGCATCCATGTCTTAATGTTCCTTCAACAACCTAGCAACAATACGAAACAACATAAACAACTAACACTCACAAATCTCGGCACTTTTGCAAGGAGAATGTTCAACATTTCAGAAAATATCAACTGATACAACTCTTAGGGTGAAGAACACTTGTAAACTTTGTAAGAAGCCTGGTAGTATACGCATACTGGTTAACAGTCCAGTAGCTAAAGCTCTGACAACTTCTGATTGATGGAAGCCTTAGAGTTGTTCATTAGTGGCAAGAAAGTTATTTCCGGATTTGTGAATGCAAGGGGGGAAATGAAAAAGAGCTCAGACTTAGCAGGTGAAAATGTGAAATATCACTGCTAAAGTAATCAGGAACTTCACTGATTTCCTTGTATAAACTTCAATTCCTAATAAAGTAATAATGTATCAATGTAACATTTAACAATCTGCCATACAAATGCAGGACCAACTGACCAAGACCTATTTTCTCAATTACAAGTTTTCAAAATTATTAAGGAAAAATGAAGCCTAGAACTCATCAATCGTACAGTACCTGGGAGATCTTCCGAACCGGAATCTTGTAAATCATCTACAAGAGGACTGTCAATTTGCTCCTGGGTCAAAGCTTAGCAACGGGTATGTTTGCTTTACGCTTGGCATGCTCATATGCTATGCAGATTGCACTCCTGCTGTGGCGCAAAGAAAATTCAGCAAGTAAGATCTGGCTTTCTTTCGATGTCAGATCACCATGACAACCCTGCAAATAAATGTATAGATTTTATTTTCATATTTTGAGAAATCAGGAGAAGATGAAAATGTGACTTCTAACAAATAAACATCACCATTGCACCAAAATGACCAAATTCAATAAAAATGACCAGCGTTCTCAAAAAAACGTGAGAGTTATCCTTTCATAAAGGAAGAGGTTTTTCTATTAATAGGAGGTCCCATTCATAATCGAAAAGGTCATAATAAAGGAAGAGGTTTTTCTATTAATAGGAGGTCTCATTCATAATCGAAATGGTGCGAACATTTGGAACCATTACAACTAGGGTAATATAAAATTACAAAAAAGTTAAAAAAGAGCTGCAACATATCCAGTGTGGATTTCCTGTGAATGGAGAATTCACAGGGTAAACAGCAGCAAAAACCCCTACAAGGGAGAAGAATACATGAATCCAATACTGTAGTAACTTAAAGGGTGTATTTCATTCATTGGAATCCCAAGGAATGTGGATTCTATGAAAAGGCTGTGTAACAACAGAAAAGTGTGGTACAAGAGAAAAAGAGAGGGATGTGGATAATGAGTTCAAGAATCAAGACCATAATCATATTGTCAAACTACTCTAAATGAGACTGACTCACAATGCCAAAACAACCGTAAGCTAAAAGTGTTAATAATTTATGTTTGTTACCAGGCGGGAAGTCCTATCACAAACAGCCTGATGCATAAGGATGCCTGCAGCAACAGAAACATTGAAGGAGTCCACCATGCCTTTCATAGGAATACTACAGTGCATGTCTGACAACTCTAAAGCTTCTTGGCTTATGCCTCTGCAATCCAAAAAACATATGATCATGTCAGAGAAATTTTCACTGGTAGTAAGAAAAAAGAGAACTTCTATTTAGGCACAAATGACCTTTATACCGTGGAAAGCAAAATTCTTTGACTGTTGGGTGCAAAAGAATGAGGGAACATGCTCACCTACTTTCATTTCCAACAACTATTGCTGTGGGGATGGACCAATCCATGTCATAAATGGAGACCTGCATATTTCCACATATACGTTAATATGGCAACTAGTATGATAAAAAGGAAGCTCAACAACCAGAACACACATAATGAAGTGAAGTTGTTGGTTTTAGATGCCTATTCCTACATATTTCAATATATACGTTAATATGGCAACTAGTACGAGTAAAGATAAAAAGGGAGTTCAACAACCAGAACACACATAATGAAGTGACGTTGTTGCTTTTAGATGCCTATTTTATAAAAAAAAAATTTAACATATTGATTACTATGTAGTTATAGTCTATAGGATTATTGCAAAAAAAGCCGTGTACTAATTCCTACAGGTGATGCAGTGTGGCAGTCTCCTCCAACTCTTTAGTTTTAGTATTTACTTAGTAAAGCATGTGTGCAAAATTTGATAGGAGGAAGACTATACCGCATCCATTCCCACATGAGTTGTAGCAATACGATAACCGCGTGATTTTAACACCTTGAAGCACTCCTGCGTAGAATTCCAAAGTTCAATGTCCAACCATTTCTCGGCACCCATGCTAACATGACGATTATCTCTATACCTGTGATAAAAATAAGGAAATTTTAAAAACCCACAATAATGGTTTTCTACTCAACTCCACTAGAAGTTCAAAGTAAAACAAAACAAATCTAAATCCAATCAACGATTCCAAAAGGCTAGTAATGATCATCATTGCCTCGTGACAAGATATTATTCTAGACCATACAGCAAAAAAAAAAAATCTCTGAAACTTCACTCAGGCTAATACTTTGGCTCTCCTAAAGGTCAAATTTGGGCCTAGATAAATATCCCATGACCAGAGTTGATTAATAAAAAAAAAAA